ATTCGCACGCACGTTGTAATGTAGCGCTATCCATACCGACGAATGCTGTCTCAATAGTCATCCTTAATGACGTCACATTGGGATGCTGAGATTTGTGATCCTTTCAACTACACTCCATATGTAGTAAGAGATTTAAATCTAGGCTGTTGGGAGGCCAGAATTTCTTGGACCTAAACATATCGACATTGTCTGAGAGCCAATTTTGAATCAAATGACTTGTATGAACTGGTGCACCATGCTGAAAAACATATAACCTTCCGGACGCCAGTTTCCATCCACTACATCCATTAGAACGCGCAATGATTGCCCTGGATCATCCGAAATCAGTGCTTGAGTCCTTTTAATGACTGCGGAGGTCCTCGATGCGTTCTTTCTTGAGACTCTTCCTCGCTGGCACCTTCTGGAACCTTCGTTGGACTGTTCTAAAGTCGTATATTTTGCCACTATGTCATAAATGATTGATCTTCAGTATCCAAAGAATCGAATTATTTCCGTTGCTGAGCGCCCAGCGTGAAGGCCTTCGATGATACTTGGTTTCAACATCGCGGCTATTTTGACAATATGACTGTTTACATCAGGCTTTCTCGAACGTCAACAACCTCTGGCGGAGGCACAATATAATTTAAATTGAAATTTGTCCGGATTTTGTTGACGCACTCTGTATATTGAAATTAAAAAAGATAAAATGTTATTTAATTTATATCATTTTTTTTGGATTACTCCTTTTATATCTAACAGTTTTATATCTAACAATGTGTGTTACACATGCATACGACGTGCTATATATAATAATCCATATGAATGCAGACTAATATTTAATGAATATGCGGAAAATGTGTTGGCGTATTGGCGTACATTGATCATGACACATCTGGAGCCGCCTTAGTTATAACATACACATCATATGTCATACTAATGATATATCTTAATGATATATCCTAAAATTACTAGCTACTGTACCTAAACTACGAAAATTTGATTGGTATTATATCTTTTAATAATTTTTTTCATTTTTTTAAATATTACATTAAAAGTCAAATCTTAAAATTGAGCTTTATTGGACCGATTTCATTCATCTAAAAAAATGTTTCGTGCAACACTTTTTACAATTCAATAAATCAAGAATTGACTGACGAATCTACAAATGTGAAGAATTTTGATAATTTTATAAAACTTTCTGTAATAGAATGCTCTTATGAAAAGTCATATCTTGTAATGAGTTTTTATTCTAAAGTGATTGTGGTCGACCCCTTCTTGGCAAGTAATTAGGGAAGATTACCAATAATAGTCAAAGCGATGTTGACAAAGGAAATGCAAAAGCGTGACACGTTCTGTACGTGATGTGCATCTCTCATCTGTTTGCAATGTCCTTTGTACTTGCATGTCCAACATACGATTGCTCTATTCGTTGCTATTGAAATACCTACACGAGAGATAAACGCTTGTAAACGATGTCGAATAACAATGTCGTGATTAATTGGTAGATTGAAATTGTTATACATTATATCTTATATTAAATAATCCTCATTTTATGTTTATTTAAACGATACCTATACACACGATAAATTAATGTTCTAAATAGGCAATAAAACTAAAAATATTTGTAGCTATTTTTAAACACATATGTTGTAATCTCTTTTGCCACATCTTCCTTTTATTGTGCCGCAATTGGTCTTCGAAATTCGATAAAAACAATTCTTTGAAGTAACAATAATTCCAATAATAATCGAAATGAATTTAACGCTGCTCTAAATGTGTGTTAAATTGAAGATAAAACCGATGATAACGTACTTCATTAACGAATATATCCTGTGTATATATATATATATATACATATCTTACATATGTCTAATTACGATGCCCGGTGTCCCTTTTGATTAACGTTATTTATCGCTTGACCGTTTAGCAAAAGCCGGATAAGGTGCTCCAGAAAATCGAAGACGCAGAAAATCGTTCGGACAAGCGAAAGCGTTCACACGCTCGGCTGACGATGTAACTCGCCTTGGCGAACCGGCGCGAGTTATATAAAAGTACGAACGTCCTCCAAGGACCGGTTTCAGAAAACTATTCAGCACATATATCGCTCTGTGCGGCTTCTCTTTCTCCGGCTTCGGGATGCACCCGCACCTGAGCAGGTGCAATTTTGCGAGCGAGCAACATTCGTCATACCTTGAATAAAATAAATTCCTTTCATTTTTGAGATCCATATTTATATATAACATATACAACATATATATTTTTGTTATGCCAATTCTTTCCAGAATAAAAAATACGTGCAAAAACATTTACAAATATTGTTTTATTTTCTCAGCGAAACGCAATTAACATTTCTTAAAATTTCAGTAAAAATTAATCTTTCCAAAGAAAAACAGCTTTAAGCTTCTTTTTTTAAATACACAATTTAAATTTAACATGTAAAATATGATAAACAAATAACAATTTTTATTGTGACACTCATTTTATTATTTAATTTTTACTCGATATTTTTACAGATCTTCACTTTTTGTTTTTTGAATTTTGTTGTAATCTTGTGCCCATAGCTATTAGTTTTATTCGTTTTCGTAATGATCATCTTATCCAACCATGATGAGAGATTTTAATTGTGCATCTAATTAGTGATTCAACATGTACCTGCAGGGAGTTATCTCCGGAACCTTTGCTTTTTTTACTGAAAATCAAATACAACCAAAACAGCTGTAATGCTTAATAAAATATATTAAAAATCAGAAACAGAATATTAATAAGACTAAGTACAATAATATAAACAGATACTTATATTTCAATGATATAATAATATCATTAAAAGATCTTCATAATATTAAACAAAAAAAATATTAAAATATTTATTAATGTAGAAAATATTTTATTCCGTTAATATTCAGTTAATATTCTTCTGTTAATCGTTTAGCTTGTAGGTTCACTTTTTCAGTTTAGGTTTTTGGAGGGAACTAATTAGATATCACACAAGACTTTTATGTACATTTACAATGTGACAACGTTGACTATTTAAAATCCCAAGGAAAATATGACCACTGATATGCAGACAATGTCGACTACAGCACGTTTAAAAGTTCCGCGATAACAGAATGCCTTGGCGTACAACTGACGCCATGGTATAATAACGCTGACAGAATTGCAGAAACTGCTATGAGATGCACCCAGAACTGTGTACCTTGCATTAGAAGCGTATACGTACGTTCGAGAAGATAAGGAAATTATAGCGGTTAATTATTACCTCGAGTAAGTATCGCATTTGCTTTAGACCTTCTTGTGTTGCGAATCTAATTCAGGAGAATTAAAGGAATGAATTAGCAGCAATTATTTATTTTTAATTAACATTGTTTTTAAAAAATTTAATATGTAATATATTTTTGGAATACCAAGTTCTATTTTAACGATAGATGATTTGAATTTTTTCAAAAAAAAAGATTAGCTATCAGAAAATTATCACATAACATTTTAACAGTCGATACATGAAATATGTTGACATAATTATGTCTCGAATTAAAATTCTTAAAAATAAAAACTAAGAGCTATCTTTTAAGTATATAGATAAGATTTTGTTATTCAATTGAACTCTGAAAATTTAGTTCACAACTTATTGAAGAGAAGAATTTATTAAAGCTAAAAATTATTGATAATATTTAATTTAATATTTAATTTAAAGAAGAAATTCAAAAATGTCTTTAATTAAAATTAGAGACATTTTTAAAATTAGAGACCTAGGATTGTACGCATATTGTACGAGAAATAATAGTGCCTTATTTGAGGAAAAATTACTGTTAAATATATACGCCGGGTTCAAGGTTCGTCGAAAATTTTGCTCAAGCATAATAATGAGTTCTGAAAAGTTACCGAGGAATTTCATTATGGCCCCGATCCGTCGCAAATTTCTTTGGAAAATTTCTTTGTAGCAACGACGCCGCATAAATTCAGTTAGCTTCGTTTCTGTTCGCCTCTCGCCGATAGAAATTCTGCGAGGGCAGCGCGCTGGCGTAAAAGGACCAACATTAGAGGGCAAAGTGCTACGAGAATCCTGCGTGACTCTGTACTTTTCTTTAGTAACTGCGCCACGTCGAGGCATTTTTCTCGATTGACCGTCTCGTGAGAGTTTAATAGGGGCAATATAAAAGTTTCTCTCTATACGTCCGCCTGTCCGAGAAACACGATGACGCGCATTAGTGAGTATTGAAAGAAAAAGAAGGGAAAATAGGAGGCGCGAGAGCTTTTCTTATTTAGCTTTTTATAGGCAAACTTCCAATCGTTCTTTAACGTGAAATAAATCATAAATATCGTGTAAATATTGTACGTGAGATAATCACTGCTGCTGATCATTTTACATTTCATCTCATCTGTATAATATACATGTTGTCATGATAATTCCAATAAGTTCAATAAAATCCAATCATATATATATATATATATATAAAG